TTCAAAAAAGTCGACTACTTGAGTGTGAGAAGCAAACTGTCTATCAGTTTTCAACATAGAACTTTGCACCGATGTGCGACAGTTCAAGTTGCCACACTCCATGTAGCACACAAAGCAGAGAAGCAATTAGGAAGAAATGGAAAATAGAGACTGTAGACAGGGATATGAGACAAAAGAAATAGTTATCACAAAGAGCAATATAGTTTCACTGGGTATAAGTCACAAGGACTGGATGCATCTGCGCCAGCCATTGAGAACGATTTTGAGACATATCATCCATTGTCTCCAGCTATTGGTTTCGACCGTACCGAGGATCCAAACCAGAAAGTCTATACATTCCTACGTGGCTGGCTTAAATTAACTGTTACCGATTTCAATAACTGGTGCCATGCTTCGGTTTCACCACTACTAGCTCTTTTCCAACCTGATCCAACCTATGTCAGCTAACATCGCCTGTCGAGGAAGGCGATGACTAGGCATACGTAACACATGTTCTAACCATCTCAGTCGATGTAGCTTCACAGTCTCGTCGATTTATTTCCCCTCCTTACCTAGAACTCGACCGATGCCTAACCTCAATATTGCTCACCCTATTATGCTAATTCACGTTTGATTGATGGAAGGCAGCTAGGCTTTTCGTAACTTCCGCCTTCAATGGCCATGTCTCATAGCTATAAAGGAGGACAGAGAGGACTGCTGAACAATACACACGCCCATTGGTCGATAGTCGAATATCTCGTCTACGCCAGAGATGGCGCAAGTTGGCATATGCGAAACAGGATTTCTGTATCCGTGCTGAGATTTCGTCAGTGGTCAACCCATTAGAACTGATGCGACTCCCCGTATAAGCGAAGTGGTCAACACGCTCTACCGCTTCACTCCCTATTACCAAGCTAGGATTCAGTGGATTCCAGTCCTGTAACATCATCTTACATTTGGCGGGAGTAAGTCGCATCCCAAACATTAGCAGATTGCGACTCAAGGCGTTCAGAAGACTCTGCATTTTGTCAGCGTCTTCGCCTAGGAGGACTATATCGTCTGCATATTCTAAGTCAACGAGATTATTCCCTGATGGTAGCAAGTCAATCCCTGAGTCGCTGAAGTCACTTAGGGCTAAGTCCATTAATACATCTATGATGAAGTTGAATAGAAGAGGGGATAATGGGCATCCTTGACGGACACCACTAGTCGTCACCAGTTCAGATGACAACTTGCCGTAAGCCCTCACCTGGCTGTATGAGTACGAGTAGAGTGCCTTAATCAGTGAAATGTATTTTCTCGGCATTCCCTTTACAGCCAAGCATCGCCAGAGAACCTCTCGGTCGATGGAATCGAATTCCGCCTTTAGGTCAAGGAATATAGTGATTGTTGGGCGTCGGTAAGAATGCCTATGTTCTAGAATCTGTCGGACGGTGAAGATATGATCAATACACCCTCTTCCTGGTCTAAATCATGCCTGGTTGTCTTGTGTTTGTGCCTCTCGAGCACCACTTAGTCTACGCATGATTGATTACTGAGCGTAGAACTTTAGATACTATACTAGTCAAGCTAATCCCCCTGTGATTATCACAGAAAGACTTGCTTCCCTTCTTGTATATGGGGATAATCAATGACTGAGTCCAGCCCGATGGGACTTCTTCTGATTCCCAGACGCCTCCTAATACCTTAGTTAACGCAGACAGTAAACTGTCTCCACCGTATTTAAATACCTCTGGAGTCATTCCATCAGATCCCGCTCATCGATATGTTTATTTACAGAATCAATCCCTCGATTTTATTTTACTATCGAGATTTACACTAGTGTGCTAATACCTGGCTAGCTGAGTTTTAATGTGCTCAGAAGACGTTATTTCGTTAATGTCCTCATCCACGAAGATATCATCTGCATATTTTAAGTAGGCGAGATTTTTCCCTGGTAAAAAATCAATCTCTAAACCACTATGTTAGTTAGAATCATATCCGCTAATAAAATGAACAAAATGGGGACAACAGATGTGATTGGTGTATATCACTGGTTGCCATCACAACTCTTGCATGACTGCTTGGTTTCGAAGAGTACCTTCATTAGTGCAACACACTTTTTTGGTACTCACTTCACGGCTAAACACTGCCACAATACTTCTAGGTCGACGGAGTCGGATGAAGAAATACAGCACGTGTTGGACCCAATAAGCATACCTATGTCCCATAAACCGTCGAAGAGCAAAGACATGTTGAATACAACAAATGTATGTCGTAAAGCCTGACTTGTTTCCCCAGGCATTTTCCCCCTAGCACTGCCTAACCTATGCGTGAACATAGGACCTAGAATTTCAGATACTACGTCATTCAAGCCCCCTTTTGATATTCACAGGAAGACTTGCTGCCCGACTTATAAACTGGGATAATCAATGATTTACATAGGTCCAATGGAACTATCTCTGACTCCCAGAAATTGCCTAATACCTTAGTTAACCCCGGCAACAGTTCAATTCCACCGTCGTTAAACACCTCTAAAGACATTCCACGAGGTTCTGATATCACACTGTGCAAATAGCCAACTAAAACTACGTCGATGATATATGCATTTTTCGAAGTGTGGCAACTTACATTGGTGCATTTATGTGCAAAGCTTGAAATTCATTCAAATACTTTAAATGAAAATGTGGCTTTGACTGAGTCGTGGTCGACATTCTTTCAAGCCAAAACAACTTTGGGAAACCCTTAGACTGACAGTTGCTTTTCAATAGCATATTAGTTAGGTGTTCATTTGCATTAATTAACTAATAGCGTTGCGACAGATATAAATGCCAAATGAGTATTGAATGCCACAGAAACAAATCAGAGACTCCCAACTTCATGTAACATGATAGAGTTCAATGATATGAGAATGTTTACTACCCACTAAATATTGCTTTTGGTACCCTTCCGAATAATAAAGTATGACTGTTTATGGAAGTTTCTGAAATGACATTTTTTAGATGACTCAGTCCCCAGTGCTGAGCAAGATCTGGAAGATAACGGACTTCCAGCTAAAATGTAGCATAATTTCCGGAGCGACTACTGTTGTTTGATAAGCCATGTCACATAAAAAAACAAGGTTACAACTAGGGATGTAAGCACACAAGCTGCTACTTATGTAAGGTCTCATCCCAGTATAATGATGCAATCAGATTTCGATACAAGTCAGGTATTAGGTAAAGTTTAAATAACTTAAAAGTTTTGTTCAATGAATGCATCCCTATAGGCCTTATCATCTGGATAAAAATAACAGTATGAGGAACATAGTCGACGCATCAACGGTTTTAGACTGAACACACAGAATTAGTAGCTGTTTTAGACAACTAAATTTCAGCAATATCCAGTGAGACAAGATGAATCAGTAGGGACAACAATTGATTTAGACGAAAACAGAAGAATCACTAGACTTTTGAGACCGAGATAAGCAGATTTTAAACAGATGGAGAGCGTTTTCTTACTCAAATAATTCAAACAGTGTCTAATAGCTGAGAACATAAAAATCCTAATGCTTTTAATGCCTTTGCTGAAACAACACAACCGGAAAGTTATGGTTAAGCATCACAAGAAATATTATCAGCCATCTAACGTCAACTGTTCAGGGAAAGATTAATCAAATACAGTGAGGTCCACACAGAAAAGTGATTGTCACGTAAGCAATTAAGCACATAAAATTAGTAAATACATTAGTGCAAATAACCACTCAAGCTACTGAATAAACACCTAAAAACAGATGACACCTTTTCCGACAAACCGTTCTGCATAGGCTATTCTTCAAATGAAGGACAATCACACAATATTTTGAAGAGTTGATGTGTAGGGATTAAATTTGTTTTTACGAGTTTTCACAGATCAAACACATAAAAATCACACAATCCTCGTATTATTAAATTTCAGAATCTCCAAGGATCGGGAAAGTGTCAGTGAAACGGCTAGATAATCACAGTTACAGACAAAACTCAACCATAGATTGTTGTTGGAATATGGGGAAATAGATGTCTCATCTTAAGATAAAACTTCGAGATTGGTGGCTATTGACATCATCTGGAGTAACAAATTCCAAGACCACGGCCACTTTAAATCTGTTCTCCAGTAGGCAAGAGGAGTTTCCTGAGAAAATGTCATCATTTTGATTCTGCTTATGCACACATTGTCAGAGAGTCTCCAGAGGTGTATTAGGGAAATGGGTCCTGAGGAAAGTCTCAGAATAACATAATTAAGTATGCTTATTATTAATTCTACTTAATATAGTGAAATAACGCTTTCTAAACAATAGCTCTGGCAGTAAGGGTGAGTCTGTTACGAACGTGCCTGTATGTAGCGAAAGATTGATGTAATCAGAATCACCATATTAACCACAAAGTCTGAACATAATTCCCTTATTCGAAATTGGATCCATCCATTAGAGTGGAGATAATTGACTATCCCAACCAACCAATTGTTATGTACTCAATTTGAAGACATACAAACTGCTAAAAACAGGCAAATATACATGCAGACTATAGAACTATACTGAATTTACGTAATTAAATCTTCGATAATTAAATGCACGTATGATCATGGTGAGATTGGCATCGAATGAAGTGTCTCAGTATTAACGAGTAGCAAGAAGACAAAAAAAGGCTATACATATGCTGCATGTCGGAACTCATGCCGCATACTGTTTTTAATCTTACGAAAGCGAACGCAAAAATGTACACTTCGATTTTCAGGAAACTCTCGTCGACCATGCACATGGTCCGGGGTTCGAGCCCTCGCCGACGCACACCTGATATCTATGGTTGGCCTGCGAATTTTGGGCTACCGATATCCACGCTGAAAATTCCCCACTTGTACCAAAAATACGGTGTGGAATCAAGCTGTAACCATAAAATAAAAAAAAAATAAAAAATAAATTAATCCAATACAAACTGTAATGAGAGCACACTGACAAACACTGAGTTCTATGAGATCTTTTGGTAGAAAGTTCCTGAAACATATCACTGGAAACTCGTCAAACTTACCTTTCAAAAGAAAAACGACTGGGAATTTCGACGTCAACTGGGCCAGAAGAGAAAACAGAAAGCATTCAGGTCTTAGGCTACTCAGGGAATCAACACATTCGTCGTAAACAATGATTGGTATTTTTTGTAGCTCCACAAGATTTCTGTAATTTGCTAGCTTGCACAAGAAAACATCAAAAGACACCTTAATATTGTCAAAAATTTTCAAATTGACCCACTTTATTCTGTGAGAATTTTCTCTGAAATGCCCTGTTGCCACCAATATTTATAGCGGTGTGTATGTGGCTTGTATGGTAAACCATAAAAGAACGTGAATCCAGGAGAATCACCTGCAGAATCAATATGAACAGAATTTGAACAACCTTAAGATTTGACCGTATTGCTTCTGCAACACTGGTCGCTTCTATATAGATGACCTTTCTTTCTAGCGCACTTAGGGCATCCATGGAATAATAAAAACCACAACTGCCAATTTCCCACACTCATGAAACATAAGCCCCCTAATGCCCTACTTCTAACCCTTTCAAACACTGCGGGTTAGAGTACATGGAACAAGGTATTCAAAGTATAAGTAATCTCAATATCCAATACCGTTTTCAATAGCAGTTTGATTTCTTTATGCTCTCTTCTTAGTTTTAAGGTTGAGGTTGCTGATCTTTGATGAACCTTTGAGTAGTTCGTTTCCCTAATCAACTGCCTTCTCCCTGATTTACTAAAGAAGGAGTGGCGCTGAGATTGACTATATATGTTACGCAGTTAACGTGTGGTGGGACTGTTTCGTTACTATGAATTGAGTTGAATCTTTCACCCATTAGTTGCCCATTGTGGTCGAGAGATAAACATAATATTACTTTTAATTAGTATTGATCATACAGACAAACTGGCTAGGAATCATGCTCCTGTCGACGCCAAGCAAAATCCTGAGTCACATCATCCTGGAGAGATTAAAGGACGCACTGGAGACAGAACTCCAACCAGAACAAGCTGGATTCAGGAAAGGCAAATCATGTTCTGACCAAATTGCAACTCTACGCATCATCATCGAACAAAGCATGGAATGGCAATCAAACCTCTACCTCAACTTTATAGACTTTGAGAAGGCCTTCGACAGCGTTGATCGTGAAGTAATTTGGAAATTACTCGAGTACTATGGCGTACCCCAAATATTCATCAACCTTATTCAACAGCTGTACGACAACGGCACCTGCCGAGTGATCCACAACGGAAGACTCAGCGAGGCGTTTGGAGTAAACGCACGAGTCAGACAAGGGTGCTGCTTATTATCACCAATGATGTTCCTAATTGTGGTGGACTGGATTATGCGTCACACAGTGAGTGGGAAACGAGAAGACAGGAATATCATGGACCACCGCGAAGAACCTAGAAGACCTGGATTTGGCGCGTGGATGACTTATGTTTGATGTCACACAAAATCGAAGACTTACAAGCGAAAACCGACAAACTGGTCGAAGAAGCAACCGGGGAAGACAAGACTCCAGGTGAACATAAACGAGACGGAGGTGATGAAGGTAACTAGCCAACAACAACAACATTCAGCAGCCAATCACCATCGACGGGAGGGATTTGAAAGAGATTACTTCATTCACTTATCTAGAGAGCATTGTCTCAACTACAGGAGGAGCGGACGAGGATGTCAAATCGAGAATCGGGAAGGCGAGAAACACATTTATCAGCCTGAAATCAATCTGGAAATCTTCGTCACTCAGCATCACCAACAAAATTCGGATTTTCAATACAAACGTAAAGTCAGTTCTTCTATACGGATCAGAAACTTGGCGGGTCACAAAGAATACTTCCAACAGCCTGTTGCAGACCTTTATTTAAAACTGTCTTCGCTCAATACTGAAGATCAGATGGCCGGAAAGAATCACCAACAAGGAATTATGGGAACAAACAATGCAAGAACCAATCGCCCAACAAATATGCAGGAGAAAGTGGAGATGGATCGGACACTCGCTGAGGAGACCGCTGGGTGACATCGCGCGCCAAGCCCTCGAATATTTACAACAGCATGTTGCAAACCTTTATAAACCAACAACTGTCTTCGCTGGACCTATACTGAAGATCAGATGGCCGGGCCGGAAAGAATCACCAACAAGGAACTATGGCTTGGAATAAATAAAACAAGAACCAATCGCCAACCGACAAATATGCAGGTAAAAGTGGAAATGGATCGGACACTCGTTGAGGAGACCGCTGGGTGACATCGCGCGTCAGTCCATAGCTCGAGTGGAACCCGAAAGGGAAGCGGCATGTGGGACGTCCAAGGGTGATATGGAGGAGATCGTGTGAAGAGGAGTTGAAAGAGTATGGACTAACTTGGATGTGGGTGAAAAGTACAGCAGAAGACAGAAGCAAAAGGAGACGTGCAGTTGAAGCCCTATGTTCCACTAGGAACCCAACGGCGCACTTATAATATAATAATAATACAGACTTCAAAAGATAAGCAAACGCAATGAATGTGACCTGTGGGAGGCTGATGAGAAGGCAACAGAAAAATGATGGTAACACTTCATTCTTCAAAAACTGTAGTTCTCGCTCTATTCAAAAAACAGATCGCGAAAGATTTTCGAAATCGATGCATATATATAATCAAAGTATATGCAGTATGAATAGGTATCAACAGTGACATAAGTATACTTATATATATGTAGATATAACTACACATACTGTATTCTTGTCACGAAGATCGGAAAGCAGGTAGCAAACGTCCCAGTAGGCAGAGTAATACATGTAGGCCACATTCGTTTAGTTGACATAAACTGGGTCTGCATTCACTTTCAGAATTAATCATGGGTTCGTTTGGAATAAGCTAGTTGACCACATTAGGATTACAAGAATACAGCGAAAGTAAACACCTGCTTCACAAGATTAAGTGATAAATTTAATTGATATGATTGTATTAATGGTGGTCGTCTATCTAGAATAATGATGATTTCGTTGCGATAAAAATACCTATTATTGCTTCCATAGTTTCAGTGTATATGTTTAATATATACATATATATGCATTGATAGATCTCAATGTAGTTGAAGATTGAACGATCAATTCATGGTTGTTTGCTCAAAACCGACTTCCCTGTTTTTCTCGGAGGCATCAATACGACAGTCATCGTCTCATCGGTCGCTGTTCAGAAAGAAGTCAGCAGTAAACCATCAGAAGTAATATTGTGATTTATTATTGTAATATTTATTCACAGACCCTAGTAAAAACATTATTTTTATATGTTGGTGTAACAATAAAGAATCCTCGAGTAGCCAATCGGTCTTTTGGTTTTTCGTCCGTTATTACTTAGCGTTTCTGAGAAACTTCAAGCGACAGCGTGAGCCCGAGCGTAGCAAGAGCTGGGCATTCACGGTTTACGAGACGTGGCTGACATATGCATTGATAGATCTCAATGTAGTTGAAGATTGAACGATCAATTCATGGTCGTTTGCTCAAAACCGACTTCCCTGTTTTTCTCGGAGGCATCAATACGACAGTCATCGTCTCATCGGTCGCTGTTCAGAAAGAAGTCAGGAGACAACTGTCAGAAACCTTATTTGTAACATTGTTCATATGTTGGAGTTACAATAGAGAATCCTCGAATCGCCAATTGTTGTTTTGGTTTTGCGTCCGTTATTACTAAGCGTTTCTGAGAAACTTCAAAGAACAGCGTGAGCCCGAGTGCAGCAAGAGCTGGACATTAACGGTATACGAGACGCGGCTGACAGTAATGTTTTCCCCATACAAATCGCACCACAACATGTTAATCGCATGTACACTCACAAACTATTTCGTCTATCGCACATTTACCCATTCGATCCATCATCATTATGGTTTGTTCTCATACTGTCTGGGAAAAGATGTGATCACCGCTGCCTCAGAAGTATTGCTCGCATCTGGGGGCATTATCCTGTGGCATGTGTTTGCACTTAGTACAAATGTTTCAATAAGTGGTGTCACGTTGGGACACTGGTTCGGATGCCTTGTGTTCACACTACCAATTGCATCTCATCGGCACCCATGCTACTCACTGTTGGTCAGCCCCAAATCTGTGTGGAAAACGTCCATGATGTGACGCTATGAAGTGAAGGATATTTGTTTGGGGCTAGTAAAAACACTGCAAAAACAGTCAGCAACCCACAATCGTGCGTCATTAAAGGTCAGTGGATTATCAGCAGCGTCATCGAAACTGATCGATGTCACGTGACTAGTCTGAGATGAAAATATGAAGAGAAGAGAAAGCTATTGAAACACGAACCGACTAAATGTCTTTGAAATTACCGCAGTGTGGTTGTCAATGGAGTTGAAGATTGAACGATCAATTCTTGGTTGTTTGCTTAAAATCAACTTCCCCAATTTTCGCGGAAGCATCAATACGACAGTCATCGTCTCATCGGTCGCTGTTCAGAAAGAAGAGTGAAACATCGTCAGAAGTAATACGGAGATTTATTATTGTAATATTTGTTTTCAGACCTTAGTTGCTTAGTTCGTTTATTCCTTTTATATATTGGTGTAACAATACAGAAATATCAAACGGCAGATCGGTGTTTTGGTTTTTTCGTCCGTTATAACTAAGCGTTTCTGAGAAATCTTCTAAGAACAGCGTGGGCCCGAGCGTAGCGAGAGCTGGGCATTAACGGTTTATGAGACTTTGACTGACAGTGGTTGCGATAACGGTGGACAAATCGGAAAAGGTATGAGCTTATCAGGTTAATGGGTTGTATATAGCTCACCTCAAATGAAACTTCTTACAAGAAGGATGTGACTTTAATAGTTTTCCAGGACAGACAGCAAGAACGTGTGGGAAAACAGGGGAAGTTCAATCAGTTCACATCTGTACTCCTACGTAGACGTCGTATTATTTCTCGAATAGCTAACCGTGGTCTGATGAAGGTGGCATTTGATTCTATAATGTTACCAATTGCATCACACGACCTGTGCTTCCTGTCTGAAATCGTGATGTTAAAATGCTATGCTTCAGTACTTTTACGTAATTCGAAACTGGCCATAGTTCTTAAGAGGTACTTACTGTTCACCTTCACATAACTCTTTAGTCCTACATATGTTTCGATTTTCATCCCGTTATTTGTAATATCTTGCCATACAGTATTCGAGGACTGAAATCGTTCTGCCCTCGTGCATCGTGTGTAATCATTGAGCTCCATTTCGTATGAATCTGGCGGTAAATTTTTGATTTAAACATTCACAGATAAGTGCTTTTTTATCTATCTTTAGATCCCGAGACCAAGTTTCTGCTAGATTCCCTTGTCAATCGAGTTAACTTAGGACAAATGATGGGAGAAGCGTTGGATAAATTCGCCGCAGACCCAACTGGTCTTGTTGATTACGCGTTGGAATCTGGTGGAGGTTCCCTTATGGGAGTTCGAAATACAGGGACTTATACCGAACACGCATCTGTGCTTAGTATTTACGGATACCTTTTGCTTTATATAAGCAAGTCTCCTAGGTAAGTTAGTTCTCGCAATCTGGTTTGTTTACGACTGTGGACTGTAGGTTTCAAAAGAAAATTCTGCAAAGTGATTTACGCGATGACTGTTTCTTTGACATTACCTTATGTAAACACCTGACAAAGCTAAGGAATAAGCAGGTTGTTATGAAATTCAGAGGAATTATAGCTTCACCTGGGAACCAAGAATGTAGCGTCCGGTGATTTTGTTCAATGTTGACTATGAAAACTCTGTTGGTTGAAGAACTTCAAGTGACAAAGTATATGATCTTACCACAATGACAAACAAGCTACTGAAATCTGACCTAACCAGTTGGATTTGCACCATCGATTTACAAAATACTATCACAAAATTAGCAGGCCTCCACACCTACTTTGAAAAAGAAACCATTCGGGGTAGTCGAAATTGTATTTGTTTCGATAATTTTGCAGATGGTGAGAAGGTGCACTGGACGAGGATTATTGCCTACCTTTAGGGCTGAGACGTCAAACAGCTGTGCGGATCTTGTCTAGTATTTTGATTGAGGCGACACTAATTGTAAGGTTTGCAGCATACAACGCTTTTGTGTGGGGTTCATATGCTCCGAGCTACTTCTAAATACTGATCGCATTTGAACATTAATGTTTCTGTCAGACTACTAACACATATTTTTGAGATTGAGCAGTATGGTTGAATGTGATGGAAATCACTATTCAGTGGGGGAGCGCTTCATTTAGCTTAGGGATTTCCACAACGAAAAACATTAGAAGTACTTTCCGAAGTAAGTGTTTTTGTGAAATGTGTTTTTGAATCTGAAGACGAATGCTTCTGTTTGGTGTCATGCATGAATCAGTAATTGAAGTTCCAGAAGCCACACACCTTAGACTTTCGAAGGTAGTCAAATCTGGCTTACATGCTTCTTTTGTAACACCACGGCTAAAGATACCCAATCGTACATAGTTTCGGTCGTATTTTCACACTTCCCTTTAGTTTCATTACCACTACTGCTGGCATTGTTATCATTAGTGTATCACATTTTCTTCACTACAAATCTATCATGATCCCAGTTTGCGTGATGGTTTTCCCTTTGCTTTGTTTCATCCGTTTTTGTCGGTTGGCTAATATAGTAACCCAACTGAAATATTGTTATTTTTGTCTATAGAACAATCTTACACCCAGGAAATAATCCTGTTGACTGTTGGACATTTCATGGAAGTGAAGGTCAGGCTATAATTCGTCTGTCTTTTGTCACTTCAGTGACTTTGAAGCACCTACTTAAAACACTTGCGCCAAATGGTAAATTGGACTCAGCTCCAAAAGGCTTTCTCACTAAGGTAAGTGGCTTCACATTATTTTCTTCCACAAAATTAAGTCTTAGTAGTTATTAATAAATAATTAACTGCTTTAGTGTGGTAGCTGTAGTGTTGTGAGCAGTTTGAAATATGCAGCTATGGTGTTATGTGATGAGTTTTTAGCGGTAAATAATTCCCCAAAATTATTGACCATAGGAATTATCAGTGAACGTTGGATGCCGACCCATATAGTTTAAGTCGACTTGTTTAGCTGATGGCTTTCGGTCAAGCACACCAGCCATTTGATACTCCATCATGTCACCTTCGTGCACGATCACTAGACAGCTAAGCGTTCGTCTAACGACTCGTTTTGTTCGGACGATCAAATACTGTCTTTTGCCTTGCCTTTGGTCCACGAGAAACGAATACAATAGGAGCTGTTGATATAAGATCTTCTGTTAGTATACCCAGTACAATTCGCGAACGCCTATACCGTCAGCCTCTTAAAGTTCATTATTTTGCTAAAGTATGACTACAAAATAGTGAAGTGTCATCTGGTTCGTTTGTATAATGCCAGAGACTCATGTTTCTTGAATAGCGAACAGTTGATGCTTTTCCTAGAGACATTCTCTTACGGATTGCTGTACAGTGGTGAAATGCAATGTGCTTATATGAAACTCAGCATGTTAGTGGACATGTTTTGTATTCTGTATATCTTTTTAAAACAGCTTATCTCGTCCATAACTATTGATTTGTGGGTAAAACAATTAAGTGTAAGAAAATGAAACAAATATATTGTAATCAGTATGTTATAGAACCTTTAAATGCTTTATATTTTCGGTTCATTTTATCATTTGCCTGTTATCACTACTTAACAATATTGGTTGTATAAGTAATGTATTTGATGAAATACTTATGTATGCAGAAAATTCTCATTAAGAGGAGTAACAGCTACTGCAATTTTATATTGCGACCTCATACATACTGACAAAATACATATATTCAGGTGTCGGTTTGCAGAGATCTGATCATTTACAAGATTTCAATATGAGCCGACATCGGTTACAGAACCTTTGGAAAACCTGATAGTAGTGGACAGCTATTTCACCCTAGTTTCCTGGTATTTTTCAGCTCTGTGTATTGTAGACAGGAGTAACAATGCAATCTTGTAGAAATAAGCTGCACAAAACAGTCTACACTGTGATAGGTAACAAAATCTTCAGAAAGGTTGTCGTGTTTTCTTCAAAACACCTAAGGTGATGTAAACCATAATTTCAATAATTGCGCTCTAAGACAACGGAGGTTATCTGATATGGCTTCAGCAGTTTCTCGAATAAATAAATAAATGTAATAAATGACATAAAAAGCTATAAACGTATCAGCGATCAAAAGCCAGTTCGAATGTACATTTTTCTAAATGAAAGTTGTTTGGACAACCACCCACACAGATACGAATGCATGGATCCTATTCGCTCTTCTTGTATGCAGTACACATTGAATAGCTATCGATACTAAAACACTTGCTGCAAAGGACTGACTGAGTCTCATCGTGAGACTTTGCACAGCAGTTTAGTAGTGCAAATTGACACGCTCAATGTAGCAGATAGCGATAGATCAAATGATAAATAAACAAAATGAAAGAGAACTAAAACGAAAGGAAGTGTAGGGGCGGAAGAATATTGGTGTGGGGAACCATAAGGATTTAATGGATCTTGGGGTTAACAAAAGCTGAATGCACAGGCACCACACTGAGAACAATCATCAGACATATCACCAATAGAATCAAATTGCTGGTTTTTAGGACACTTAAGACACCAATCAACGAGATTACATGTACTAAGGTAAGTCAAACAAGCAGCTAAGGAATCCATGATTTGACTTTGCGCCTCCAAAAACTTCCCAACATACACTGGTTACTTTATTAGATATATCACACAATCAAAGAGTATTATTTACTGGATAACGCTTCGAACAAAATTTATTGTTCATAATCATACTAATTGTGATCACATGACTTTGAAACTAGAGTTTTATAGTTTTCTTTGTTTTCGCCTATTTGTCGTAGGGGAAGTAGAATTTTCCAGATATCTGGGACAGATGATGAATCATTCCTATTATATGTATTTGCAGTTGATTCGATAAACAAAGCTTCTGTTATCAATCTCTCCCTATACCCTGCGACACTGGTGACTGGTAGGATTTCCTAATAAACTGGATTTCTGTTGAATAGTCTCAAGAGTTCTTTTGGTGTTTCTAACGGAAATAGGACGCTTATCATATCGCCTTGTATTTACGCCAACCTGAGTGGCCACGTGTGATTGCTGCTTCACAGTAACTGGGCTAAGACGTTGTACGGTGTACGACTTCCGGAGAGATTCAAAGTGTACAACTGAATTCAGCTTAGACTTTTTCGATGTTCTGGCATTCGTGCCAGTGTACAAGGGATGCACGTCAATACTATGATCCTTTGACATTTCTATGTCTGTGATTTCAGTATTTAGAACTAAGTCTTCAACAGTTGCTTGACTACTGTTAGTTTGTGTATGCGATATTATCTGGTGCTCTTGGTCATCAGGCAATACAACGAGGGAAGTATTAACATCGGTTGTCTTATTGGGGTTATCTTCATTTAGTTTCCCTGCGCAGGATCGTCTTCGGCAAGAAGTTAAATTGGGTACAATCCTGATATTGGTGTAGGGTGTTGAGGAGCCAAGAGTTTTACCAGACTCCAAAAGTTTCTTAGCTAGGTCAACAGATTTAAATTTGAAGAGTACAGGACATGGGTGGTTTGCAGATTTCTTACGAAGACGCTGAAACTGGCGGTCAGATACTGAAATGTTGCACGCCTTTAGACAACTTGCTTTGAGTTTGACACTAGGTACATTGTCTGGTATGTTATATCCTAAGACTTTATATGAAGACATGACCCTCTTTACAGCCTCTGCAGTCAAAAAGTCTAGCAGGCGCTCAGATTTGAGAATTGAATCTAAGCAAATTTCTTGCGATGGATCACAAAGTCGGATGAAATGTGTGATACATTCAAATTTATCCCACAGGTTTGTTATGGATTTCTGAGGATCTGTAGATCACTAGTGTTACGGGCTACGTCATCAATCAGTTCTTCCATTAAGTTTGGTTCTTTAACTCTTGGTGTATCAATTGATCTTGGTGCGAATTTGTCGTCAGGACTAATGTTTTTAGTGACCTGTTGACTATTTGGTGCTAGTCTCTTAACAGTACTAACTCGTTTAACAACTCTGACCATTATGGAGGTAAAGATTACAAAAGTTTCTCAAAAACTGATAAAAGTGTGTGAAATGCTATTATATTATCTAAATGGATGAAACAACGATAAACAGGTATTAATGTATTAAATACAAATTAAAAATAGACCACTATCAAACGAGTTAACTCTGATACTTCTGATACTTCTTTATAGTCATTTTGTGATACATTGCTCTTTATTAATACGAATTTGACTGGATCCAAACAGTATTCTGGAGGTGATAAATTTGGATATTTAGCTACCGGATGTGCATCCAATATCAGTTATAATTGTATGGCAGTCAAATATAGACCACGATATTCCGGAATGAGAAAAACTATTTCCATGGTATATGGGGGGATTGTAACGTCCTACTTGATACGACTTGATATTGTGCTCATGGAGATTGCGAGCATCTAAATGATATTGGAAGTTACCGCAACTCGAAAGACAAACTGGCCAATCAAAATGGAGTTAAACACTCATTTATCTCACTCGTGGGCACACAAAATTACAGCCGTCGACAGGCTACCTCAGTTGTCCAGTTCATTATACCGCCGATATTATATGGGTCAGAAATGTTTTTAATGCTAAATTTTAATTAAAAAGCATATAAAAAACATAAATTGTTACCAAACCACCTTACTGACGGACATAAACGCTACAATTAGCGGGGATATGCAATAAAGCCACTCGGTGTCACCTTAGTTTCCACGATAACCACTTTTTAGAAGTTACAGAGTGCGAAATGATGCTATAGCATTTACTCGCTGTTCGGTGAGTGCAGTGTTCTTCATACTTTGGCATGATTACTGACTTCTAAAGGAAATGAAGATAAGAACAGTGTTTGGGACTGCACCCTCATTCAACGAACAGTTGGTACTTAAACTTTCTATAAAGGCGATTTCGAATACTAGCCTTATATTCAGATGTTGTTGTTAGTAAACAGGTAAAATTGGGGAACATTGAGCATGAAGAATTCGACGTGATAGTGACAGCCACAAAAAATTGGTCTCATGGTCAAAAACTATTGTAAAGGAACGAGCGAATTCTGGACTCTTGTACAGCTTTATTTCAATTTCAACAAGTTCAACTGCATACGTCATTCTTTTTATGATAGAATTCTTGTAACCTCAGTCAACACAGTCACAGCCGATGAATGTAACAGAAGTAAATTATACATTCCATACACATTTTCACTTGCGATTGTTCCTATAAAGGTAATATTCACTGACATTCAATGCATTATTCCCACCATGCATCTATCTCATCCCATCTGAATGAAAATCAGTATGGTAGCGATGCATAACTTTCAAAATTATCGTCATTACGTTTGTTACTATAGAAAACATTATTGTAGCAGTTTGCAATCAAGAGCTAAAGTGTGCAATTCTTTTCATCACTAGGTAAGTAAAACGAGTAAACCGAAGGAAATGCGGATTACGAGTGGGGACATAAAGGAAAGTAGTACATTTAAATTTTATCAAGCGTGGGAAAAGATGGTATTGTGGGTGATTTATGCTGCGGGTTGTCAAACATTCGCTTATATCAGTATCTTCTCGTGGGCGATTTCCGACTGAGTATATCGATAATTTTATGCGTTATACACCTAAATATTGCTTTTTTCATATGACTGATGTGTTCGAGGTCATTTGTACGTTACTACTTTTATAGCTTTCATTTTGACTTCTCTATTTTCTCATTTTTTACAATCAAATTATGCGTCTTAATTGCTAATACCAGTTCTGATGCGTTCTTCATAGTGTGTGGCGGTAAT